CTGTGCCTCGGGGCCCTGGCTTCACAGAGGCCCCCACAGGTGCCGCCGCCCACAGGCCCTGCCCCGGGAGCTGGTGCCCACGGCGAGGCCGGGCACACACCCCGGTTTGCAGGAGAAATCAGTGTCTCCCCGGAATCGGGTTCACATATTTTTGGCAACTGCTCGTTTGTGTGCGTGGGAGGGCCTCGCAGGAGGCTGTGCTTCTGTGTGTCGGCTTCTAAGCTGGGGTTTCAACCACCCTGGCCTCGGGGCGCCCTCCTGGGCTTCCCCCCTCAGTGCCCCCCAGGGGCCCAGGCCTTCAGAGAAGAGTCAGACCACCCTGTGAGCCCCTGGGAGCCCTCGAGGCAGCACGCGAGGCTTTCAGCCGGTGGGGCGGTAGCTGGTCCTGAGGGGAACAAATGAAAACCCCTTTCCTGTCATATCCTGCTTCCCTTCCCAGCGCCACCCCTTCCGTCTCCATAGCAACCCACGTCCCCAGGAGTGTTGGGCCATCGACAGGGGAGCCAGAGCCAGAGCTCCCGCACGCCTCCGCTCGGGTCTGAGCCCCACGGGCGCCGTCCCCCTTCCTGAGGCCTTAGGGACCCACCTCCCCACACAGGAGCCCAGAGCCGCCCGGGTGCAGCCCACCGGGAGCCCTCGCCTGGGACAGGTCTTCCTGTCCCCGCGCCTCAGGGTCCTCACCCGTAGCAGGACCCTCCTCCTAGGAGAGGAGGGACTCTGAGCAGGACTTGGTCCCCGACTGCCATGGCAACAGCCTCAGGAGGGGCGCGGGCCACCCACTCCATCCCCATGCCTGGCCGCCCCCCACTTCCTGGCCGCGGAGTCGAAAGCCCTGAGGTCCTGGTGGACCCCCTCCTGCCTCCCCCTCTCTCCGTACCTTGACTTCCCCTACTTTCTTCTCCATCCCCCTGGGGCCCCCATGGGCTCAAAGACCCACCACCACTCAGGCGCTCAGTGATTAAGGTGTCATTTGTGCGGGTTCATGGGTCTTGTGTGTCTGTCTTTGTGGGACCAGCCCGGTGCCTGCCAGGCCGGATCTGTGTGGGGGAGGCGGGAGGACGGGCGGGACCAGGACGAGCAGGCTCCTTCCCCAGGTCCTCCCTTACGACTACTACGGGGCCTACGGGCACCAGGTGCACCAGGACCACGCCTACAACCGGCTGCTGGGGGCCGAGTACACCTTCGACTTCCCGCCCCACCACCAGGGG